AGGGAGCTGCGTTGCACCCTCTACCGAGCCACCTCCGTTTGCAAAGTCATTACCAGCTCCCGTGCTTACCGGAACGGACATTATGAAGTCCTGCTCCTTTACAAGTGGCTGATTCCATTTATAGCAACAAAATGGGAGCTGTATGGTGTGGCCTCAGCCTGCTCCCAGACAGGTTGGGGAGGATGTATCAGCAGCATGCCAAACCTTACGAGTGGTGATGAACAGAAAGCAATCCTAGGATATGTGATGGTATTGAACCATCTTATCTTATGGGATGCTGGGTATTGCGATGTCTTATGTTTTACAGTTCACAGAAAATAAAACCAAACCAAACCATGATTTGTCTCAATATATTTAGACATTTCAGTAAATATTTTGATGGTTCTTCCAGTTGTTTGGCAATATCTATACCCTGGCCTTGTAGACTATGTTTTCTTCAAAGTTGAAGTTTATTTAAACCTTTATGAAAATAATATATATATTAGCCACTTGAATGCTGAACATTGACTTTTTAGTTGCCATTTTTTACTTTAGCTGTGAAGCTTAGCGTGAAACGGGCTGCTTATCTAAAGCCAAACAATCTCTCCCCATTTCCACCTTCCAGTCTGAGAGTATCAGTTACATGTCCTCACCAGAACCAAACCTGTCATGGGGAGAAAGTGGAAAGGAAAAAAGGAAAAGTAATACACAAAATCTTAGACTGAAATTCCTTTGTGCAGAGGAGGGCAAAGGAAACCTCACGGCCTGAAGTTTTAATAGTGATTTTGACACTTATTCAGTTTGCACCTCTTTTGATGCCTTCACCAAACAAGCTTTGTCTAATTGCAATGATGTAATTTAAAAAGAGTAACAGTGGAGAGAAAACTTTAAAAGTAGTACTGTGGCTCCCCTGTCTCTGTCTAATTAAAATGTAGATAGAAGACTAATCAGTGGATAAACACAGGCCATGCTCCTTCAGCTCCTGAATTACCCTGTGATCCAGTCAGATCCTTTCTAGTAGCCTAGTTCCCCCATCCACACTTTGATGCCATTTCACCTGATCATTCCTGCCTCTGTTGGACCTCCAGGGTCTCCTTCTGTCTCCATGCTTACAGTGAATGCTAAATGATAGAAGATATTTTCCAGTGCACTGGCTTAGAGGTTTCTGCTTTGGAGATTTTTAGAAGTGGTAAATAGGAAGCCTGGCTTCTGGAATAAAATAATACTAGTATATTCTTCTACGGCAGATTTTTGCCTGTGGCTGTGAGACCCTATTTACCCTCTCAGATTGTGCCTGCGCATGCTGTGCATCTTGTTCGCTGTTTGCGGGCCCAAACTGAACCCTTGACTCACCCTTGGTAGAGAAAAATAGTAATTAAGCCACCTGGATAAAGCACTGCAAGTATTGCTATTGACAGCCTTGGAGAAGTCAGAGAGAAAGAGGCTTTTTCTGAGGGCAGTTTGATGTATTTGCTCTAGAAGAAAAAAAGGCAAAAGGCAAAAAACCCCTATACTTTTATTGATTATTAAATTTTAATTGTCAGCTACCACTGAGCACTCATATTTTGTGTGGTTTTGTGTAGCAAGGTCTGATTTCTAGCTAGGTTATGGCCAGAGGTTGGTTGTTGCTTTCTTTTCTTTCTCTCCCTCTCTTTCCAAATAGAGAGTGAAATTTGAGGGACTAAAATATGTTAATGAGGCAAAGCATTAATTTGTGATCTACTGAAATTATTAGTAATTCTCCTTTCTCACTATAAATACAGTCCTGTTTTATTGCATCCACATGAATATACTCATTTAGAAAGAAAAACTGTTAAATGATATCAAAGGCTATTACTCCTACTGAAATCCAATAACTTTTATTATTGTGCCATCTCCATTACTTTTAATAAAAATTATTGTTTAATTGAAGTCATGTTGCTACTTCTGTGTAAACCGTTTTGGCTGTTACGGAAATCCATACTCTGTCTCAGACTCTAGACTTACAACTATGTTAACAGTTTCCTAATTCGATGTTTGTAGGTGCGCTATTAGTCACTGTTGGACAGCATCAGTCCTTGAAAAGGCTGTTAAAAATGTATCTAAATAATAATAAATCTGGGATACAGTCTTTTGTAGTAGATCAGCTGATATGTCAACAGATGAGGAGTTTGGTAAATCAGTTCAGTCAAGTGAGCCGGGTTAACGCAAGGACTTAAAATACTTTGCTAGCCAGTGAAAACTGAGCCAGAACTGGGTTACAGTGTGATCATGTCCGCAGCTTCTCCAGAGTCCTGAGGATTTTGTAAGAAACAGCAGTAGGACTCAAATACAATTAGGGCATTTGCCTATGTCCTCAGACTGGTCCGAACAGCATCTATACTCACAACAAACAAATCTAGTGATGGGAGTTCGGGTTCGGGTAGAAATTCACTTTTCCTCTGGAAATTTTATATAAATATCAAAGCTGCTCTTCTATGCTAAAAGAAACATTTCTGGACCAAAATCTCTATTTTCCATAGCAAAAATTTATGCCTAGGTATTCTAGCTTAACGTATCTTCAGGGATATCACTTTTTAAATAGGGGGACTAATAATAAGTAGTTTGTGCGTGAGCACATCTCTTTTTGCCACACACAGGCAGGCAGATACTGGGACATAGAGGCAGCTTCTTGGCTCTTGACAAGGACGGTGGAGGAAGCACTTGGTGGCAGGACGCTGGAGACGAAGGTTAAAAGGAAGAAACTAGATCGGAGAAAATTGCGTACGCAAGTGACAGGATGAGGAAACGATGGCCAAGGGGCAGCCTGGCAGGGCCGAGAAGCAGTCAGGGCCAGCTGGGAGAGACTCAAGAAGGGGTCAAGGCGCAAACCCCAGCACTCCCATCACCTGCTGGCATCACCAGGAAAGGTTCAGCTCCTTACCAGCCGCTGCGTTTCTCTCCAAGGCTAATGGTACTACCAGCAGTCACGGCTGGTGCACGGGGGTTGAATTTCTCAGCTGTTTTCTAACATCGGCATGTTAAACTAACTTGCCCATCTTGAATTTTAAACAACAGTTTCTGACTCCAACTCCACCACTGCATAAGTTGCTCAACAAACAGTTTTAATTAATAAATTTGCAAAAATAATGAGAGATTTTTGGATAACTTGCAAACAGAGAGAGGCATCTTTCTCTGCTTATTAATCTATATGTTACGAATCACTTCTAGCTGCTGTTATAAAAAATCCAGCTTGATTGATGAAAGTTCCTGTTTCACACCTTTTTTTGGCAACACAGGAACAGGCTATGATTTTACTTATTAAACCCGAACTCTGTTGTAATTTTGTTATTTAGAAAGCTTTGCAGTAAATTAATCATCAGGAGAATTACTGGACTGCTTTATTTTAAATCAATCTAAGGAGTATACCCAGACACTTTTGAAAAATTTTTTTTTTTTTTCCAAAGCACATTGCAGGTTCAGATGACTAAAGAAATATTTACCAAGACTATTTAAAAAAAAGCATTTGTCTCCCCCTCTCGGAATAAAACAAACCCCTGCCGCATCTTCACGAGGACCCCATGGCCCAGTAAGTAGCACCAATGACTCACCTTTTCCCTTGCACCTCCATGAAGGGTTTTCACGCGGAAAATAACAAACAGGGTGTGTTTTCAGCTGTGTCAATAACTAGCATCTCCGCTGGCACCAGGTAACGCTGCACAGATACATCTCATAAACCTTGCTGGAAGTCACAGGAGAAGGAGCAGAAGCGCAGGGCCGTCGCCCACGGGGAACTGAAAGGAAAGACCCGTGCAAACGCCAGCACCAGCCGAGCCGCCCGCCACTTCACGCGGCGCCTAATCCAGCCCATGCCAATCCAGGCAGTTTTACAACACATTTTTTGCCAGCTGTGTGCTAGCGGTTTGATAGCAAAAAACGCCACACTGATGTTCATATTGTCAATGCACCGGTTGCCACTGACAGGAGGAAAGATATTGCCACTTGGATGTCTCCGTTGCTCGAGAGAACAAGCACTTTCTGCTTCCCCAGTTTCAGGACTCTGACAGGGCAAATTGTTCTTTCTTTTTTTTTCTTTTCTTTTAAATCAGCCTTATTTAATAGAGGATTTTGCTGGATTACTAAATGCAATTGCATATAGTGATAGTTATATTCAATTTTGCAATGATGTACTGTAATGTAAGTAGTTAAACATATAACTAAGCATTTTAAAACATGAAGCCATAAGAAAAATTTTAACTGCAACAGAAAGACTCTTGCTTGCCTACACATTGTATTTGTTTAATGTCGATTTCTCTTCCCGTAGTAGCGAAATGCCACATCCATATTTAAAATCTGAAGTATTGACAAAATCTTCTGAGCACATAAAGCTGTTTTGGCAAAATAAAAGAGTGCCTGCCGTGCTGCAGCTATGAAAATGAAACAGCTTATCAATTTACCAAAAATCTGCCTACAGAGGAGGCATTCTCCAGCCTTCAGGAAACCTGATGCTTTTCTCACGCAAGAAGAAATCCTCACCACACCGAAGTCAGTGAGAAACCTCCGCTGACTTCAATAGGGCCAACTGCTATGAGATTGACAGGGCTATCATTATGCTTTAAAATTAAGCTTATGCACACGCATTCATGAATAGGAACCGTAACAGCAGAAAGGCTTAACACAACAGTTACAAGGGAAGCGAAAAATCCAGAAAGAATATGCTGCAGTTTGAGATTAATGTGTTACTCATGAAAATCTAATTTTAATAGAAGGTCAAACCTTCAAAAAATTTTTTTCCTTAGCATGTCAAAATCTCGCATTTCTTCAGCCGTCACAGAGCACTGTTAGAAATGGAGACAGAATCTGCTGATTGAATTAAAGTGTGCTTTCTCGGAGACTGAACCAGTATTTATTTTGAAATTACTCCTAAATGATTAATTAACAACTTAAAAGCATAAGCAAACCTTTGGCCTCATAGCATCTCTATAACCTTTCACATTATAAAAAGAAAAGGTTTCTGATATCTGTAATTACTTACCAAAATAAAGGACTTTTTTGTGTGGCAGTTTTGTTTGTAAATGTTTTATTTAAAAAAAAAAAATCTTTTAATGCTATTAATCAATACATGTGTAATAATACTTATTAAGTATCACGTAATAGTAGGTATTTTGGATTCAGGAATGTAATGGTTTTAACTAAATCATCAGAGCTCTATTCCGCTCCAGTCTCTTCTAAATTGTCATTTTTTTCCAGAATTTAAACAAACTCATTCTTTGTCAAGGTACATCATCCTTAAGGCCTTGCAAACTTTTTAGTGATTGAACCAAAACAAAGAGAGAGCTCAGCTTTCTTGATCTGAAGACCACGTTGCTCTTGAGCTTAAAAAGGTGCCTGCGGTTTTCAAGCAGTTAGTGGCAAATCAGCAAGAAAGAAATCAGCGGAGAAGAAGGGGCACTTGGAAATCAAAAGAGTAAAGTGCACAGTTATACTGTCCGAAATTGTATTAATCTGATCCAAAGAACTTGCTGGACTGTGGATATTTAATACAATTTGGCTTGCATGGAAATACAATCACGATCGGACAGAGAGGATTTTCTTTTTCTTCCTGAAGTCATCTACAGGATTTATAGAATTCAATTTTCAAGGGTAACATACTGCAGCTCTTTGGATATTGGTCGGTCTCCCAAGTCCACAAGGAGATGGAGAAGGGGGAAGGTGTGGAGGTTTGCAAGGTGTCCTTTGTGCCTTCTCTGTTTTGTTTAGATGCCAGTACTCTCCAGTTCCCCGTCCTCCAGCCCTAATGCAGCGTGCGACCTAGAAATCATAAAGAGTTTCTCTTTATTTGTGTACTGTCTTTGAGTTTGCTGGGATTGCTCCCCTGTTTGTTCTCTGCTGGTAGCCTTGAGGGGGTCCGTCTTCTCAACTGGTTCCTCCTCACAGTCCTGGATTTTACTGGCTGGGGCGTTGGCAACTGACTCCAAGGAGGTGCCTGCCTCCTCCAGGTGGCTGTAGCCCTTATTGCTGCTGGAAGGCTCGGACTGGGAGCTCTGGGTGTCCGTTCTGGTGATGACAGGAGGGGTTGAGGGGGGCGACCCCCCCAGATCCAGAGATTTGGAGTAGCTAGAAGATGCCTTTACCAAGAGGCTGGAGTCCGGGCCCCTGCTGACAGCTGGGGACCGAGGTGGCTCAGGGAAAAGAGGACACCTGGCATCGGGCAAGCAGCTGGTGCTCTGCCGCCTGAGAACCAGCTTGTGCCTCCTCGTCCCACAGCTTCCCTCGATGTCGCTGCTGCTGAGGTCGGTCAGGCTCAGTTCAAACTCCCCTCGTGGGATCTCCCGGACTCCCCGCTCACCAGGGGGCCTCCGCCAGCCTCCCCCTCCACTGCTCGGCTCCAAGGGCAGGAGGGTGAAAGCGCTCAGCGAAGAGCCAACGATGGAGCTGGCTGTGCTGTGCCGGCCCCAGCTCTCCGGCGGGCTGCAGGGTGGGCTGGTGACGGTGCGGCCAGCAAGGGCAGCACGCTCCCGGTAGATGCTGTACACAGCCTCGGCCAGGCTGGGTGGCTGCGGTGGGGTGCAGAAGGAGGAACGCCGTGGCGAGGACACCAGGTCCGGCGGGGAAAGGGAGACACCCAGTCCTGGTGGCCAGGAGCTCTTGGCCAGCATGGCCGCAGCACCCAGGCCTTCACCACCAGGCTTTAGCTCTAGGCCCCGGGACTGCACATAGTTGACAAAGCCATTGAGAGGGGCTGAGGCCGGGGTGCCTCTGTCCTTGGCCCGCAGGCTGTGGGCATCGATGACAGTGGAGTAGAGGTCACGCAGGTTGATGATCTTGGTCTTCTTGTCGCGGTTCTCGTGCAATACTGCATTGGCGCAGATGAAGAGGAAGATGCCGATACCCATGATGAGGGGGCCCAGCACCTTCAGCTTGTCTGAATGCAAGTAGCTCGAGAAAAGACGGAAAAGGAAACCCACTGAGGCCTGGGGAGACGAGGAAGTGGGGGGGAACTGCGGGGACCCCCAGGTGGTAGCAGTGGTGGAGGTGTTGGCTCTGGGGGGTGACTCTGGATGGATCCCTGCTTGTGCCCCTTCCTGGCTCCAGGAGCGGTTCTTGGGGGTGCCACCCTGCGGTGCCAGGTGCCGGCCCCCGCTGAAGCTGCCTTCTCTGTACACCTGGCTGGGCTTCGGCCAGTAGCCCACCACGGCCAAGGCGATGCCCACCAGCAGTACCAGAATGCCACAGAGGGCGATGAGCCCCGAGAGGGAGAACAGCTTGAGCTTGCCTTTCACCACCACCACGTCGTTCTTGCGCTTCTTTTTGGCCTTGCGTTTGCGTTTGGGGACTTGGCTTTGGGGTCGCAAGGGGTCCTGTTTCCTAGCCGAGATCCTCAGGAGGCCTCCAGTGGCGATCATGGCTGGCTATCCAGGGTACTGCCCCCTATGGCCACTCCAGTTCCTGTAGCTAAAGGGAGAAGAGAAGAGGATGAGGACCAGGGGCAGACCTGCAGCACAAGAGGTGTCTCTGTTTGCTGTTCCTCATTCAAACTCCTGCTAATTAAAAGCCTCAACAAGTGGGATGGGAGTTGACACCAACAGGCCGATCTCCCTTGCCCACAGCTCCTGTGTGTGAGAAAGAGACAGGCAGACTGACAGCATCGAAGCAGCCATGTGCCCCAATACACACCTGCCAAACAGCTAATTAATTTCTTTATTTATAAACTACAGGCAAATAATAGAGGGAGAGGTATCTACTGGTATAAACAAAAACTGATCTTGCTGGTCTCGGAGCTTACAAAGCACTGGAGCTCAGAGGATGCTGAGCCCCACTCCCTAACAGAGTCTGGGGTTACACTGCACACTGGCTGTGGACGGCATGTAGGATTTGAGGGGGTGGGGGAAATAAAAGTGGGAAGGCAGTATATTTGATCTATAGATACCATTTGTTTCATTAAACTACTTACACATTACTAGGGGGAGGGTTAAACATATTACTTGCCTTTCTTAAATGAGTGGGAAAGGAATTACTGTGAAATGCACAAGGGAAACATTTGAACACTGGAAAGCAATGCCCTGTGAAAGTTTCTTCCTAGCGATTTGCACTTCATCTGCAATATTACAGAAATTCATCTCCTGCCTGCGGTCCAGAGGCATCCCTGGTTTGGGAACATGTGCGATGCTCCAGGTAACCGTTATGTAACAGCAGCGAATTCCGCCCCCCCCGCCCCCGGAAAGGGGAGATGGTGGCTGGCAGGTAAGAGATGGCGTGTCAAATCTTATTAAAAGAGGAGCAAACCCTTGCAAGTTTTTTTTTTACTGCTGGTAGGGAAACTGGCAGGGGACTGGACATTGAGCATTTATGGCTTTTGTTTTACCGGACCATCAGAAGTCATCTCTCTGTTCCAGTGATCTGAGCTACAAAATGCAGCGTGTAGGAGCAATTCCTGCACTGTTGCCATTCTTTTTGAAAGATATTCCTTCATGCTACCAAGGAGCGTGATCCCCTCCCCCCTTTCTGTTCCTGAGCGTCCAATTACTTTTTCTTTGAGGGAGCAAAAGGTGACAGCACCAAATATAATACGATTCACAAAGTTCAGTTCACTGCACTGAAAGGCGATTAAGTAAGCACCTAAAAAAAAAAAACAAAACACCTTGCTCCCCTTCCCCTGTTCAGCTTTTAAATCTCACTTCTTTTCTGTTCTATTCCCAGATTTGCCACGTATGCAGTAATTTTGTGTCCCATTTACTCCGTTCGTATGCTCCCCAGAAAGAGAAGGGTGTTGTCAGCGAGGACATATTGCTAAATTACTCTCCGAGGTACTGCACGCTCAAAACAAAGAGCAGAGACTTCTCTTCTCTTTCCTACCGCTGAACTATTTATTTTTCAAAAAAAAAAGCAAAACAAAGAGCATTTTTTGTTGACGCAAAAGTGTAATTATCGGGGCATGCTTTGCTTTAATTGCCGGT